CCAACAACCATGGCCTGCACTTAAAAACAATTGGCACTGACAAAATTACCATCTCTCAGCTCCAAAAGACCACCCTACTCAGATCTGCATGCATTATTTGTTGATACATCACACAGTCCTAGACTCTTGGGAAGTGTCCAAAGTGATGTGTGATCAAATACAAAAGCCAGCATTATGTTCTTGTTTGTTGTGTACTAATCTTGTTATGTATCAAATAATGCTTTATTTATAACCCGCCCTCTCTCTCCAAAGGGAGTCAGGGTGGTTTTACCTTTTCCTTCCCCAAATCAACTGGCATTTGGCTGGATTCAGTTACCTTTTTTACTCTTACTCTTAAACATGTCTGCCAACACTTGTGGATTCATTACTCGGCGGTATATCAGCAGTATGTAAACATTAGAATGGAGCAGGATTTCACTTGAGAGAGAGAGAGAGAGGAAAAAAAGAACACAGGCAACTCCAAGTTAAATATGCATAAGAGTACATTGTCCACACAGTAAGCCCTAATCCTTGTTCTTTAAGAAGGATATGAATCAGTTTGTTGTGCCATGAAAGAAGAAAGCAGAAGACTATCAAAGGCTTATTTGCCATTCTGTGTACACTGAACAAGACTATTGTTCTGAACATGAGATGTAACAATCACTTCTGCAAACTACAAGAGACTGTTGCGATATGGGGTTTTCAAGGGTGGATTTCCTCCATTTCCAAGTTGAGTCTTTAGATCTCTGCACTGCTTTAAAAAAACGATAACTGAGATTTGGATTGCTTTCTGATGTGTAAACATTTTTTTTATTTCATAAAAAACATTATGGCCATTTTGGTATACATTTATCATTCTCTTAGAAAGCACAAAAGGCATGGATCGATGGGTTTGCACCAGGTGCACCTCTGATTTAAAAACACATTCCAGAAAAGAAAAGTAAAGGGAGAAGAGAGAAAATTCCCAGCATAAGGCATGTTCTATTTGCTTCATAAATGCATACATTGGACGTCGTACTATAAATTCTACAAATAGGCAACCCTGCATTCTTCACATAAGATCCTTCGGATAGGATAGATTAAATCCTCACTTAGGATATTACAGACTTAACCAACGTAAAAAGATTGTCACCCTAAAGAAGAAGCTAAAGAATACCTAAACACGTATACAGAAATGTAACTTTTCCAAACTGCAATTCCCAGAATTCTCCAGCCAATACAATCAGTGGCAGACTGGGAGTTGCAATCCAGAAAATATATTTCCCAATCTCTGCCATTTACTGACTCCATTCATTTCGATGGTAGGCCAACCTCTGAACATATAAAAGACTGCAAGTAACAGAATACCTTCCTTGTTGCAAGTAGTTGGGGGGGAAAAACATTCACGTAAGTCAGTGTTTTTCAACCTGGTGGTCGGGACTCCTGGGGAGGGGTCGCGAGGGGGTGTCAGAGGGGTCACCAAAAGACCATCAGAAAACACAGTATTTTATGTTGGTCATGGGGATTCTATGTGGGAAGTTTGGCCCAATTCCATCACTGGTGGGGTTCAGAATGCTCGTTGATTGTAGGTGAACTACAAACCCCAGCAACTACAACTCCCAAATGTCAAGGTCTATTTTCCCCAAACTTCCACCAGTGTTCACATTTGGGAATATTGAGGATTCATGCCAAATTTAGTCCAGATCCATCACTGTTTGAGTTCACAATGCTCTCTGGATGTAGGTGAACTACAACTCCAAAACGCCCACCAAACCCTTCCAGTATTTTGTATTGGTAATGGGAGTTCTGTGTGCCAAGTTTGGTTCATTTCCATAATTGGTGGAGTTCAGAATGCTCTTTGATTGTAAGTGAACTATAAATCCCAACAACTACAACTCCCAAATGACAAAATCAATCCTCTCCCCCCACAACCCCACCAGTATTCAAATTTGGGGATATTGAGTATTTGTACCAAATTTGGTCCAGTGAATGAAAATACTTCCTGCAGATCAGATATTTACATTATGATTCATAACAGTAGCAAAATTACAGTTATGGGGTAGCAACGAAAATAATTTTATGGTTGGGGGTCAGAACAACATGTGGGCCTAAATTAAGGGGTCGCAGCATTAGGAATATTGAGAAACACTGGTGTAGATAAAGGAGCTCTGTTATCAAAGCAGAGGCATATCACACTTGTACAAAAACATTACTTCGGGTGAAAATTAACTGTGTTATAGAGTTTCCAGAGAAAATGCCGTGTACAAACTAAATCAGGTGTAAGTTCATTTAACTTTCTCTACCTTTGTACCTTAGCGCTTGAACATTATCTGTTCTGACACCATAAGGCAGCAAATTTAAAAGATTGTCCTTTCTGATTTAAGGGACATTGCAAGAGAAAGCAGGAAAATTTAAATACATTGCTAGGGATCGTGATAGCATTATTACAGAATGAATTCCAATTCAAGACTTGAACTCCACACCAGCCAGAAACTCTTATAAGGCTAGGAGTCCAAGCTTAAGTTGGCCAATCTGTCGTGTGAAATGGTCATGTAATCACCAAGCCAAAGAGCTGAATTGCCATCTTGCTCTCCCTCTTCCTCTCCTGCTATAAGACGTCATTGGAGAGAACAGCGACGTAGATGGCTTTGCCTCAGAAGGAAAGAAAACAAAACTTCTCATTTTCCAACTCTTTAACTGTAAAGCCGTGAACATTCAAATTCACACAATTCAGATTTTAGTTGAGACGATGCGGGGAAATTACACAGATACCGGTTGTAGATATTGACTCATAATTTCACAATGCAAAAAGATAAAAAAGTGAAAAGAGGACTCTTACATTCTAAAAAGCAATGCAAGGGAGGGTATAAATACCATTCCTGTACCCTGATCCATTTATAAATACACGTCTCGACGTTATTACAGTGGCATCGGAGGCTCAATTTTTTGGTACTCTGGGAAAGTTATTTTTAGACTACAAGTCCCATGCTGGCTCAGGAATTGTGGGAGTTGTAGCCCAAGAACTACGAGTTCTGTGCATGCATCTTAACACAAGGGCTGGTCTGGTTCTGCACATTTCAGAAAAAGATTGCAACCCTGTGTATAGCCTTAGGCATTGCTACCGAAGAAAGTTATCCTTCCTGCTAGAAAAAATTGTTCCTTTTCTACATATATTTACTTAAAAAACAACCCTGTAAATGTCATATTAAAAACATGCTATGTAAACATTTGTATCAGGTCCACCAACCATAACGTTTCAAAGTTGTGCACATGCCCCTTTCGTTCTGCTTAACAGCCCTGCTTTTTGAAAACTGAAGAGGACTTTCTGAATATTTCAAACCTAAGAGGCACCAAGAACATTAGAGATTTCCTCTTCAGACTTCAAGACAAGTGAGAAATAAGGGGCTTCCGCTGTGTTCCACAGACATGTGGCATTTCTAGTGAACGGGCAAAGCATCCACATAACTTCGCTTAAAGAAAACAGGAAGCATCACAGTCATGTGTGTGTTTACCATCATTACTGAACTCAGTTCTTCTAATATTTTAATTCAATATTGTTTTCATGTTCAAGCTTTCTCTGAACTGTGTTGTCGAAGGCTTTCTTGACCAGAATCACTGGGTTGTTGTGCGTTTCCGTTGCTGTATGGCCATGTCCAGAAGCATTCTCTCCTGACGTTTCACCTGCATCTCTCCTGACATTTCGCCTGCATTCCAGATAAGAAACAATCAGGGCCAGCTAATCACCTCCCAACAACGGATTGCCCCAAGCAGTAAGAAGCCAGACCTTGGGCCATTAAATGCTATTCAGGGTAGCCAATTGAAACATTCACACCTATCTCCAACAGACAAGAGTTCTTTCTCCTATCCTGGACATTTCATAGATATATAAACCCCACTTGACTAGTTTCCAAAAGACCTCACAACCTCTGAGGATGCCTGCCATAGATGCAGGCAAAACGTCAGGAGAGAATGGTTCTGGAACATGGCCACAACAACCCAGTTTCTCTGAACCAAAACTCCCATCAGCCCACAGCCAGGACTTCTGAACTGATGGGGATGATGAAATATCTAGTCCAACGCCTATGGTGGTCGCCATAGTGGGGGGAAGCTGTTTTACTCCTACTCCTCTCCCTCCCTGCGCACACTTCAATAATCATCTTCAGAAGGGAATTCCAGACAAGAATCAATCAGGACCAGCTAACACCTCCCAACAAAGAATTCCCCCAGGTAGGAAGCAGCCAGGCTTTGAAGCTGCAAGGCCATTCAATGCTAATCAAGGTGGCCAGTTGTAACATTCACACTTGCCTCAAGCAGACAAGAGTTCTTTCTCCCATCCTGGACATTTCACAGACATATAAACCTCACTTGCCTAGTTTCCAACAGATCTCGCAACCTCTGAGGATGCCTGCCATAGATGTGAGAGAAACGTCAGGAGAGAATCCTTCTGGAACACAGCCATACAGCCTGGAAAACTCACAGCAACCCAGTGATTCCAGCCATGAAAGAAAACCTTCAACAACACTTCAGAAGGTTGTTCTATAGTATGAATGAATTATTAGCACTGGGGAGAACAAACTGAAATATCATGAACATAAATTATTCAGTTTCTTTTCTTGTTCTGCGAGGTCTTAGAATTATTCTATTATGTCCATTTTACATTTATGCATGGCATTCGCTTTAGAATAAATCAAAAGGGAGTTGGATACATGAAACCTGAAACCGGGAGAAGGAAAACGGATGTTTCTGCGATTGTTTCTCAACGGCAACTACAAAGTGTCCTTGTGCATGGAGTTTTCTTGTGCAGGAGAGGCAACACAAATGGAAAATGTTTAAAAAAATCAATGTAAATCTGGTAACACTGTGAAGTAAAACAAAAGGGCATCGTATACAACATCATCTATTTACAACCATGGGCCGGGGTGATACGTTAGCATCGGACATACATCAGAGGAAAGCCAGAGCACTTTATCATAACCTTTGGAGAATCTAATTCCTCTCGAGCATAGCAAATGAGAAACCAGCTTGTCCTTGTGACAGATTCTGTGCCGAATGGATATTTTTCAAAATTACATTCCTTCTTTCAGATGGCAAAAAAGGGAGATACAGCCTTTGAACAATACTGCTTAAATGACAACACAAACATGAGATTAAAAAAAAACAAAAATACATATAGGGAGTACGATAAAACGCTGGCTATTGCCAAGCTTATGTTACCAGTTTTGTATAGCCCAAAATCCAACTGCACATTGGAAATCTTGGTATTCATAATACTATTTTTAATGCTTGATGAGATGGCTCCGGTAGTCCACTGGGGTGTGTTGTTTTGTTTTTTTAAGTTTTCAGAGACACATTGCGTTTTCAAGAAAGATTGGAAGCAGTTGCAAAGCTGATCTCTCCTACAAAAGTTAAAGAGGAACAGATCTCAAAGATGCAATACTGTCATTTTGGGGGGAGAGGGGGGGAAGAAATAGAAAGAAAGTGCTTCTGAAATATATGACTTATAATTTCCCCCTTGCCCACCCCAACTGGTCCTTTTCAGTTTGTAATGTGTCAGGTTTATAACAACACTCATAAATAAGAGCTTCCAATCCATCACTGGGTAGAGAAACATAGCCACTCAGTGTCTGAGGGGTTGTGTACCAATGCTGTAATCATTTCATCTCACCTGAAAGTCTCCGAAGAGTTCAAGCTCAGTAACCAAATGAGATGCCACCCAACTTCCAAAATCCAACCACTCGAAGACACTCGGCCTTGGCAACAAAGAACAGGAGGTCCATTCCTCCTCCTCCTCAGCCAATCCTTTTTCGGTCTAACCTGCAGAGGATCTTTTTGAAGGCCCTCCTGAAGTCATGGTTGAAGATGGTGTAGATGACAGGGTTGAGGGAACTGTTGCAATACCCAAACCAGAAGAAGAACTTGAAGAGGGTTTCAGGCACAAAGCAGCTTTCACAAACAGCAGTCAAGGTGTAGGTGAAGAAGAAAGGGAACCAGCAGATGACAAAAACCCCAATCACGACCGCCAGCACAAAGGTGAAGCGCTTCTCCCGGTTCTGCCTGCCCCGCCATCGGGATGCTTTGGCATTGCGCTCCTCCTCGGACCGGCTGGGCAAGATGTCCCCAGGCTTGATCTGGCTGAGCTTGGTCTTACCCTTGCCCCGGGGTGGCTTCTCCTGCTTCTTGGGCTCGCGGGTCTCGTTGTGCTCGGAGGAAGAGGTGTCCTCCAGGTCGATGCCGTTGACCTCTTCCCCGTCGTGGCTTCCCCCGGCCACCGCCATCTTCTCCCCGTTCAACTTGGTAGCTGCAGTGACGTCCTCCTTGCCGGATAGCCCATTCTGCCGCCTCTCCACGGCCTCTGGCCTATCGCCAGGTGGGACCCGAGTCCTCCTCTTCGCGATCTGGTAGATGCGGACATAGACCAGGACCATGATGAGACAGGGGGCAAAGAAAGAGCCAATGCTGGAGGAGATGATGTACCAAGTCTCCTTGTTGATGCTGCACTTGGGCTCCTTACTGCCAGCTTGTTCTCCAGGAGGGGGCTCGGGCTCTCCTTGCTTCATGATCGAGATGAGCGGTGGGAAGGAGATGATAGCCGAGATGACCCAGACCAGGAAGATGATGCTCTTGATGCGGCGCGGGGTGCGCTTGAGGTTGTACTCGATGGCCTGGGTGATGGACCAGTAGCGGTCCAGGCTGATGGCGCAGAGGTGGACAATGGAGGAGGTGCAGAAGAGGACATCCAACGCTGTGTAAATCTCGCACCAGACCTTGCCGAAGGACCACTGGCCCATGACTTCGTTGGCCAAGGAGAAGGGGATGACCAAGGTGGCCACCAGGATGTCGGCCGAGGCCAAGGAGACCAGGAAGAGGTTCTGGGGGGCCTTGAGGGCCCGGCTGGTGAAGATGGCGATGATGACCAGCACGTTGCCGAAGACTATGACCAGCATGAGCAGGGTGGCCAAGGAGATGAGGGCCAGGGTGACGTGGAGGGAGAAGGGCCCCTCCCGCGCCCCGCCCTGGCTCCCGTTGAGGCTCCCGTTGCCTTCCATGGGCAAGGGAGGATGCCCCGAGCGCAAGTGGGAGGCCACCGCAGAGAAGCCCCCCTCGTCGCGCCCCACCAACGAGACCTCCGCTGGGAACATCAACCCGGCAGCAGGGCTCGGGCGGCAAGGCAGGAGAAGGAGCAAGAGAAGGAAGAAAAGAAGGCTGGCGAAAGGAGGAGAAGAAGAAGGAGGAAGACTCTCAGCCGCCTCCTTCCTTCCTCCGCCTCATCTTCCCACCCGCAAGTTACCTTCGCCCGAAGAGACCCAACTGGGGGCTCTTCAAGATCCAAACCAAGGACGAGGAGAGGTTGCTGCTGCTGCTGCTGTTGGTGGTGGTGGTGGGAGTGATTGAGTCGAGGGTTCGCTCCCTCTGTGGCTTCTCCCGAGCGCTTGCCTGTCTTTGCTGCTCCGCGCTGAGGCTCGCCTTTATAGCGCCGGGTCTGGGATCGGCGGGAACCCAGCGGCGGGCAGCGAGCAGCAAGCGCGGCGTCAGCGCCACGTGGGGACGGACACGCCGCTTCCCCGCCCGCCCCTCCTCCGGCCAGGATCGCCACGCCTCGCCGAGGGACCTCCGGACTCGCGGGGATCCCTCGCGCCTCAGCCCCACGCGCCTCAGCCCCCTTCCCTTGCTTTCTCTTCCTTCCCTGGAGCGCCCTTCGCCTCCTTTGGAGGAACTCTCCTCTGCCTCTCGCCTCCACAAACGCACGCACACATAGCTATCTATCTATATTAGGCAGGAGCCAACTTGGGCCCTCTATAAGTGGTTTGGACTTCAACTCCCACCATTCCTAACAGCCTCAGGCCCTTTCCTTTCCCCCTCAGCGGCTGAGGGGGGAAAGGAAGGGGCCTGAGACTGTTAGGAATGGTGGGAGTTGAAGTCCAAACCACTTATAGAGTGCCCAAGTTGGCCCATGCATGAGCTGTTGTTAGTCCCAGCTTCTGCCAACCCAGCAGTTCGAAAACATACAAATGTGAGTAGATCAATAGGTACCGCTCTGGTGGGAAGATAACAGCGTTCCATGAAGTCATGCTGGCCAAATGACCTTAGAAATGGAGATGAGCACCAACCTCCAGAGTCAGACACAATTGGACATAATGTCAGGGGAAAACCTTTACCTGGACAGATAAGCATTTTCTCATGTCATAAATTGTGAGAAGGTCCTCGCATTGTGCGTGTGGCAGGGCTCAGGTTGCATTGTAGTAGTTGGTTGATGCTTTGCCCTTCTCCGCACTTGCATGTCGTGGACTCCACTTTGTAGCCCCATTTCTTAAGGTTAGCTCTGCATCTCGTGGTGCCAGAGTGCAGCCTGCTCACAGAGGCGGCCCTAGGTAATTTTCAATGGTAAGCAAACAGTATGACCGCCCCCCACCCCCAACCAATCAC